TATGCTTTTCAAATTACTGAGAATGTTAGTCTATTAGTAATCAAATTTTATCCTATTAAAGTTTAATATTATCTGTGCTTTTCGAACTTTGAACAAAGATATCTCGATAAAATTTCTCATTAATTTGACTATTTAAGACTATTTTCGAATTTTATTGATCTTTAAAATTCAAAAATAGCCTCAAATATTAAAAATAAGCAGGATATTAGTAAGATTTCTTCATTTAAAATTTATAAAAAAATAGTTAAACAATCAAAAATTTTTTATTGTTTGGTCAATAAACAGAAAGATCCAATAATAATGGATATTATGCTAGGAAATTGGTATTCAACAGGGAACTCTGGAATATTATTATTTTCGATAATAATTTGCAAAAAATAGAATTAAAAAAAAATTTTGTAAATTTCTGCGTGATGGGTGATTATTTGAAAAAAGTGCAGTAATAAAAATTTAAATAGTCAATCTTTATTAGAAAAATAAAGTCAATGGAATATATCGATATGTTTCGTGACTTGATTTTTCTAGCAAAGATTCAATACATATATAATATTCTTTACTTCAAGTGATTAAAATGAGTGCTGTTAACCCTGAAATTGGATTCATTTAATATAATAACAGCAATGTATTACAAATGCTATGAATACTACTAATGCCAATAGATCTATTAGTTCTAGTAAAAATATTGGTTTATTAGATATACGAGTTCTAGTAGATATATTAAATATAGAAGAGCTAGTAGATATGATAGCTAATAAGTTAAAATATATAATAGCCTCGCTATTGCTCTTGTAAAAATCATCAGTTCCCAACTCAAGAGTTCTAAACTCAAGGGTTTAACAATGCAATAAAAGAGTAATTGTGTCTTCATATACGACTAACACGAGTAAAATAATAAATCTGCTATACAACTATTTATATCTTTATATACTTTTAACAGTTTACCTCTTCGTAACTGCAAATCACTCAAATACTTTTAACACGTAATATCAATAAACATTATATTTTATTTAAGCATTAACATGGCATTGTTATCAATCGTCTAACATATCTGTCACTAAAGTAAATTAGTTATACCAAACTTATAAGAGATAGTTTCAGGTGTAAAAATGAGCTTATCAGAATCCAATAAGCTTGTTTCTGTATACTAATTTCAACCTATTGTTTCTATTGGTCGAGTTTTGGCCAATAAAAATTTACTTACCAAACCAATCAACATTAATCACGAGTATATATGCGTACTAGATAATCATCGAGAGAGGTTATTACTAATTGATTTAAACTTGGGTATTGTAATCAGTTTGCCAAAATTCTAATATAAAAAATGTTAGTATATTTTAAATTTATGGTTTTATTTCTCTTGTTAATGTTTTGTTTATACAATATAATTCTCATTTTTTTACATATTTAAACTAGCTTTTCTATATATATTTTTTTAAAAAAAGATATAGTATATAGTATATGAAATTACTGTTCAATAACTCTATAAAGTAACGATAGTCCCATTTATAGAGTCACAGAAGTAATTTTGAATTTTTTATTTTCTAAGGTAACGATTCAAGTTCTTTGAAATTATAATATCTACTATTGTACATAGCCTCTAGGTGAACTTCAACCTTATTATTAAAAAGTGGTGGACCTTCTTCTGTTCCTTGAAACTGTTCAGCAATATAGGAGTTAGGAGCACTTAATAGCATACACAACTATTCACCAAATGTTTTGTAAAGTTGTTTAGCAGTAGGTCTCATGAAAGGATCAAGGCTTAAACATTGATTCAATTCGTGTACTCATTTAATTGTTTAATAAATAAAAGCATAAACAAAATACATTATGAATAAAATTCTCCGAATTTTCCGAAAAGTAAATAAAAGTATTTTCGGTGAATTCTTTATTTTCTTTGTCAATGTGTAAATTTCTTGTGTTCATCATTTAGAAAAAGAAAGACAAGTGCCAATATCCTAATAAAGTAGAATTAGCAAAGCAACATGAAGTAGATAAAAGAGAAACATGGGTTAGTAACATAGAAAAGCGTTTTGAAGCCTATAATAACCTTGAATCTTTAGATCAACAAAAATTTCAAACTCATCCGATTCCTTCAGAGAAACGTAAGCCTCGTCAATTATCAAGAATTATAACTGATCCAACAAAACTTGCTATTATTAGTGATTATAACAGAAGAAATTATCATGTTTCTAACAATAATAATAACTATGATAACAATTATTCATTATTTAATCGTGATAACATTGACATCGAAAAGTTGATAGAAATCAAAAAATCCATCGTTAAACAGGAAGTAACACCCATGCAAGTTCCTCCAGAAATTTGTTCAAATTGCAATAGTCCTATTGATGAGTTTGGATATTATGCTAGATGGTATTTGCTATGTCAATCAAAACGTTTTAAAGATAATTTTAGCTCATGGTCAAGCGGTAATAATGAAATTGATACCTTTATTCAAAAACTCAACTTAATTCCAAAAGTTGGGTTGACTTCTTAGAATGGATACCTTATAATAATTTTAAAAAGATCAAACAAATTGGTTCTGGGGGAT